AGAACACACTCTACAGAGTTTTATTGAATCTACCGTAAGAATATACATTTCCAGAAGCCTATTCCGTATGTGCATTAGCGTAGGGCATTCTAACAGTACATGTGTGGTCGACTCATGGTCATCCTCTTCACAGAATCTACAGTTTGCATCCGCATGTATACCCAGTCTCGTAAGGTGGTATTAATTGAAATATAAAATTTAGTGTTATGTGATGGGACAAAATTTTATTTTATAAAATACGATACAATCAAGTGTGGTCACTGTTTAGAGTTACTGATTTCACTCTTACTGATTACAAAGCTCATTACTCGTTACTGGTAATAGTGAACATCCTTTTTATATTTCGAATGGTTAATTATTTTGAGATGCAGTTGCAGCGTACTAATAGAAAATGAGAGACAGAATGACATATCAAAAAAGTAAAGATAATACCTACCTTTTAAGAAATAATCAGTTTGTAAGAAGTATTTAAATTTAATAAAGTATTATAATCTCTACACGATATTAACTTATAACCTTTATCTCTAATTACCATAAAATGTTTAAAAACTAGTACTCCACATATAACAAATATAAATAAATAATAATATATATCATATATAGCATCATGTAATATAATAATTAATAATATGTAATCAACATATATAATATTATAAATATACCTATATATATTTCATTGTAACAAAGTGATGTGTCTTTTATTAACATATAAAATATTTGTAAAAAACTATAAAGAAATTTTTAATATTTGTTTTAAAAATCATTTAAATTTTATTAAAATTCTATTTTCAGTCATTTGAAAAGTGTACAGCCACAAGATCTGTTCACTCAGCTCAAGGCACATTGGCCGACAGACCAACTTCCACAAGTAAATTTAAATAAGTTTTTCTACGATTGGACTGAGAAAGTAGGCTATCCTTACATATTCGTACGCTTTGAATATAACGGAGATAGCATTTATATAGAACAACACCGTTTCTTATTCGATCCCATAGAAGGAAGCAATCCAAACCTTTATTACACAATACCTATAACCTTCACTACTGATAAACAAAAAAATTTTAATGACTTAAAACCGAAATTTTATATGGACAATTCCGGAATCAGCTTTTTGCAACAGCTTGAGGAGAATGCTGAGTGGATTATTTTCAATTTACAGCAATCTAACTACTACCGGGTGCTCTATGATGAGAAAATACTGACCAATATCAGAAAAGCACTTCTTCAGAAAAATCATAGTGACATTCCCGTCATCAATCGTGCACAACTTGTGGATGATTTGTTTAATTTTGCACGTAACGGATCAGTTAGTTATAATAGAGTCTTTGAGTTCGTGGAATATTTGGCATTTGAAACAGAATATTTACCTTGGTATGCTGCCTTCTCCGGATTTGAGCATGTAACAAAGCGGTTACCATTGAAGAGACAAAAAGATTTTGGTGACTTTTTGGAAAAAATCGCGAAAGCAGTTTACGAAAAATTGTACTTTGAGAATAATAATGATACTGTACTTGATGTTTATAATCGTAACAAAGTGATAAATTGGGTATGCAAATATAGAATAAGCGATTGCAACGAGAAAGCGCAACAAGTATTAAATAACGTATATTCTACAAAAGTCAAGCCTTCACCTGATTTCAGAGAGACACTCTACTGTAATGCCATACGCAATGGTATTTTCATGATGTATTCAACTGTACATGATTTTTTTAAAAGTGAAGTTGTAATTACTGAAAAAGAGTTATTGGCTCGTGCGTTAGGATGTACACGACACCATTATGAACTACATTTTGCCCATATATTACTCGACATAATACCAACTCATTACAAAGTCATGTCTTTAAAACCTTTGTATAGAGAAAATCCAGAAAATGTAGGACCCGTTTTTAATCTCATAACAGAAAATATTGAAAAGTTATCTGAAGCGTAAGTATATACAACTATACTTTTTCAATTATACATTGAATTAATTGTAAATTATCTAACAGACTTGGAGAATGGTCAGATGCGGCTAATATAGTTAATGATATAGCAGACTACTTGACTACCAAAGATCAACAAACACAATTGGAAACTTTTGTTAAGGAGAAAGGAGAACTTTTTGGAACTTCAAAAGCTACTTTAGATAGAGCAGTAATCAAAGTTTCCAACAATTTAGTGTGGGCCGAGAATAATCTCGGTACACTGTACACTTATTTCGACAAAGGAAATAGTGCTACAATAAATCAAATGACGGCAACCTTAATTTTTTGCCTCAGTATTTTTTATTATTTTGTGCGATAAAAATATTAATTTTAGAATTTCATTAAATGAATAAAATTATTAATAAAAAAGTCTATATATATATATATGTTATAAGTAAAAGAGTGTGTTGTATGCTGGAAAGAGTAGTTTATATAAGTACTAGGCTTTCAGATTTAAGCTCCCACTAAAATATTTCAAATCATTAATTACTATAAATAATGGATTTTTTTTAATTAAATGTTTTATATGAGCTTTGATTTAGTTTTTAAAAACTGCACATTCAAAGGATTCTTATGCTTTGTTTTCACTATGTTATTCTAAATGATTTGAAATACGCATTTGACTATGCATTTGACACACCAGTCAATATAATTGACAGTCAATTATATTGACTGGTGTGTCAAATGCGTTTTCATCACATGACAAGAATGTGAATATGACATCATTTGACTACCCGTTATCATTATACTGACAATATTTGACATTAAAAATGACGTAGTGAAAATGAGGCATTAGTACACGCTTGTATCAACAACCCATTACACCTTATCATAAGATTTTCCATTTCCCCAACAACACAAATCACAGCGTGTTGGCTACTTTTCCAAAGCGACTAATGCAACACTTATGTTGGCAATTATTTAAGTACTTGGACGAATATCCAACAAAATATATTGTAACATATTTCATATTAAGAACAAGACGAAACTAATATAAATCTATTAGCAAATAAATTATCACATTACTTGAACAAGGCTTCCTCTGGTCACAAATATACTTGGCATATGTCAAGTATAAAAAGGCTTGGTCTTAGTGAAAAAATCTTCCAATCCTACAAGAGTCAACTGTCGACCAGGTTGTGTTTGCTAGTTGGGTGACTAGAGATGTTGCAGAAATTAGTGCCCAACACGAGAGATAGAAGCATAATTGTCATACTCCTTATATACTGCTTGAGTTTATTATTATCAAGACTGGATCCCGTTAGTACGGAAAATGCGCTTATATCCTCCGATAATGGTATGTATTGAAAACAATTAATTATTATTATATACAGTTATAAGTAATGTGACAATTGTGTGTGTATTTGCAATGCTAGATATTTCACATATTGGTGATGATTGCCAAGTCACCCCAGTGATACATGTGCTGCAATATCCCGGTTGTGTGCCGAAACCGATACCCTCATTTGCTTGTGTTGGGCGTTGTGCAAGTTATATACAGGTCACTTCCTGCAGTTAATTCTTAATTTTGTTTATTATGTATTGTATGTTTATTATATACGTATAGGTATCGGGTAGCAAAATTTGGCAAATGGAGCGTTCGTGCATGTGCTGTCAGGAGTCTGGAGAGCGAGAAGCAGCTGTGTCACTATTTTGTCCAAAAGCCAAGCATGGAGAACGTAAATTTAAAAAAGTACTCACAAAAGCACCTTTAGAATGTATGTGTCGTCCATGTACATCAATTGAGGAATCTGGTATTATACCACAAGAAATAGCGGGATACTCAGATGAGGGTCCATTAAACAATCATTTTAGACGTATAGCATTGCAGTAAATGCGTACAAGTTGTGTGTGTATGTGTGTGTATATACATTTTATTTTGAAACGATATTAAATAATGTATTAAATTCATTACAGTAAATAAAATATCTTTGATACTTGCAAAAGTGTTTAGAATGCTTACCAATATTTGAAGAAAACAACAGAAAAAAATTATAGTTACTATATGGCAGGACACAATTTCTTTGCAATAGAGGTTTCTACATGCCTAACTAACAGTCAAAACTTAAGTTTTAGTATTGACTTAAGTCATTAATATTTCTGGCTTAAATCATATTTAAGTGAAGCATTTAAATTTTAAGTTTAATGAAAAAAAATTAATTGTTAAATTAATTTGGAATATTGACGTTAATATTACTTATTAAATAATCTCAAAGGAATAACTGCAACAAAGAAGATTACTAAAATGTTGGTACAGAAATGCTGTTCAACTTTCTTAAAATTAGTTGTTACTTGACATTTAATTGTTGTAGCATTATTATTATTGCTATGTTGCAATGAATAAGTGTAAATAAGTGGAGTGCAAAAAATTCCTAGGAAATTTCAATTTACTTCACCTCAATTTACTCGAACTCGCACACGACCTAAATAATAATTTCTATAAAACGTCAGAATTAATTTTAAGTCTTTTCCTATAGTTTGTTGAACTAAAAGGGATAAATTTAAAAAGCAAAGTCGCAACACTGTTCACCGTTTTTTTGACGTTCTCTTTTACTGCCAACAGATGTTGCTCAGAAATGAATTTGCTCACTGCTGTCGTAAACAAATGTGTGTACCAGAGAATATCTTTAATAATAATAAAATCTTTTTTGGTGTGCACTGTGCTCTACTAGAAAGAGAGCACAATGAAGAGAAAATTAAATAAAAATAACAATTTATTGAATTTGTTTGCTTTTGGATTCTCATTCATTTGTGAATCGCTGAAGAAGTCAGATGTTTGGTGTTTTTGTGTGTTTATCATTTTCATTTTGTTTACTTCGGTGACTGAAATTTATTTATGCTCATTTATCAATGAAAATTATAAACAAATTAAATAAAATTTATAGTATAAAATAAAGTGAAGTAAAGTAAAAAACTGTATACATTAAAATAAATATATAAAAATATTTTAAAACCCTAAAAGTACATAACATGCCGCACAATCCGGTTAAGCTGCAAAATAAATGTAATAAGTGGTGCAAAAATTAAAAATAAATTTTAAATAAAAAAGTAAACAAAATACAATAAACGTAGTGCAAGGAAAGAAATCTTGTTAATAAAAATGTAAAAATAAAATAAATATTATAATGAAAGTGATTGCCAGCAGCAATAAAACCATTATCAGTGGTTGTTAAAGCGCAAAGTATAGCAACAACAACAAAAGCAGGCAACAACCACCACCGCTGGCACCAACTCCTCCACTATTCACTCCCCATTATTCAGTCAACCTATTTGCTATTTGTTTCCTTGTGCGCTGTCAAGCTCAATTTATTTTAGCCAAAAATAGCCGAAATTTTGTCAAATTTGTGTCGTTGTGTCAAATTTGTTCGCAATTAAAATGCAGTACACATAACTGCTAAAGTGTCTTAATATGAATGAGAAAAAAAATGAAATATGAAATACAAAAAATAATAATTAAACATAATATTTTGTATTAAATTGCTACAATAAAATTAAATAATATTAATAAATACATAAATAATATGAAAGGGAAAATGTGCTCATATTTTCAACGGCGCCAAACACAGCAGACATCACGACCCACCTATGTTTCTTGCCCCGCTTACCGAGCCAGCAGTAAATGCAGCTTACACATTTGGCCACCACGTTCATTGTATGGTTTGTTGTTGTTATCACTATTTGTGCTACCACACACAGCACATGTAGGAGCGCACAATTGTCAACATCACCACCCAAAGGCGCACGAGGTGAGTTCTGAGTAATCATCAACAGAAACAAGAAAATAGAAAGAAAAATAAAAAGAAAAGGAAACAAAAACGTAAATGGCAGGCATCCTTTCTTTCTTTCTATTATTTTTATGAATGGAAGCCCCAATGCCCATTTCTGATTGCGAAGCCAAAGTTTGCGAATTCTGTTGCTTTTCTATCCAATTGGAAATATTTATTTGTTTATATATTGTTTTCGTTTTTTTTTTTCGTGTTTATCAATTAATTGCCTTTTTCTTTAGTTAAGTTGGTATTTTTTTAAGCTGAAATACAAACAAAAAAACCCTTTAACCGAAGTACGGAAATATATTTTAGTAGATTTCATTTATGGATATGCAAATTGACAGACATTTACCATAAATGTCATGTTATAGGGCGGTTTTGTAATTATTATTCTTATCTTTCTTGGTTATCCTTATAACACAAATGTAGAGTAAACATTTTATATATTTTCAAAGTATTGTGGCCGTGTGCGATTTCGTGTAAATTGAGGTAAATTAAATTGAAATGTCCTAGGGATTTTTTGCACTATATACACTAGACCGTGTGTGAGTTCGAGTAAATTGAGGTAAAGTACTTATTTACACTTGCACTTATTTATTAATTTTTAAAAGTTTTCAAATTTATTTATTTATTTATTAAATATCTTATAAAATTTTCACAATGGTAATATTTAATTTAAAATATTTAAATTTAAATTCTGGTAAATACAAACATTCGTTGCCATACCGACATAATATACTATTTCTCTCAATTTACCATCAATTTACTCGAACTCGCACATGGCCTTTATATACAATATAATGAATAAAATTTTTATTAGAAAATTATATGATTCAACAAATTTTTACTTTCCAAATGTTTTTAAAGATTTTTTCTACACGAAATGCTTTTTCTTATTTACCATTGTTTTAATGGTACTTGTACTTACTCTTCTTCCTCTTCTTAACATTTTTTCACTGTTGCTCTTTCTTATTGTTGGCTTTCCTGTTGTCGTAATGTAGAGGTCCATGTATGCGATAGTGTGAATGAAAGTAAAAATAAATTCCCTTAGAACAAAAAACCTCTCTGCCTTCTCAATGTACCGGTACGTGTAATACACGTCGTGTATGCACAAATAAGTATGAAAGTAAATATCAAATTTATTTAACAGCGCTATTTATTTTAATTTATTAAAAATATTAAATCTGCAATCTAGTAAAAATATGAAAAAATAATAACTTCTTGAGTACATATAATATTTATTAACTTATTTAAAACGTTTTACTTCTGAGAAAATTGATTTATACTACTTAAAAGTGCTGGGAATTTTCGGTGACATTTTTTTAACTACCTCATTTTCCTTGACGTACTTCATGCCTTGCATCTAAATCTGTGAAATCTAATGTGCTCCAAATTAAAATTTTCCATCGAATGATAATATGATAATAGTGCTGATGAAAGGTACTATTATGTTATTTACAAGCACTAAATAAAGCTATAGGTAAGAAGCAGAAAATACTATATAAGAAGGTGATATGTAACTGCTTTTAGTATTAGTAAGTCATTAATATAGATATGATGGTGCAAGTGCATATTATTTAAGATTGTTCTCTGTAAGCCATTATTATAAAAGCCATTGTTAAAAGTTGTTAATTTGAATTGTTTTGTACAGTAAACTAGACTTATATTATGTTCAGACACAAGATAGATACACTGCTCATCTTTGTGCTTTACAAAGGCCAATTGTGACATTATAATTTTTAGGGGTACCTTAGCTGTTTCGGGGGGCATATTTTTTAACTAGGAAATACTTTGTTATTTTAATGAAACGGGCAATATCCTTAATTCTTATAGATATACATATAGATATAGGTATAGGATAGACAGAGGATGCGCTTAAGAGAGCGCAGACATCAAAGTGTCAGTTTTTAGCAATAACAGAGTAGTTGAGTGGTATTTAAACTTCATTTAAATTAAAGCTAATTTATTTTTTTCTCTAATTTTTTTAAAAATTATTTTAAAATTTTTTTTTCTTTGCTCTACCATAAATATTTTTTAAATTGGCGTAACTAATTTTAAAAAAATTTTTTTAAATAACATCTGAAAACTGAAAAAAAAACTCTTGCATTAAAAAATATTTTAAGCATTCACTAGATAACAAAACACTTCAGTTTGCTTTTATTTATTTATCTAAATAATTCACTTAAATGACTTTCAAAAACAGATTTAAATAAAATTTATTATTTGTTTTGCTTGAAGTAGTATCTTTTGTAGTTTATTTATTTATTTACTCTTTTTTGGTGAAGTATACATAGTTAATGAAAAAATTGCTTTAATTAAATTAACTTCAACTTAAACTTCAATTAAGAAAAGATAAGAGTAGACATATGAAAAGAAAGATATGAGAAAAAAGCATTTAATCAAAAATAAACCGCATGAGTTGCCATGATAGTTATTAATAAAAACTAAAGCTGAAGTCGAAAAGAAAATGAAAGTAATCTTCCAATTAAACTTTCCAACTCGAGATACTTTTGTATCTTTTTCTTGAAAAGAAAATTCAAGCCAACAAAACCAATTCAGTGTGTTCAAAAACAAACTAGTGTAGCCATAATCTTGGCAGTTCAGATTAACATTGTTATTCATAAATTAAGCAATTGATATTGATTGGAGCATATGAAATCATTCAGGAAATACTTCAATTGTTAAGTTATCCTTGAAAATGTGTTATCTCAAAGCAAGTAAATTATTTTCCCACAGAGTTCTCATCGCTTCGAAGCACGGAGAAAAATGGCCTTAGTCTATTTGCTTTTCGGTTCTAATTGTTTATTCAATTTTATTTTTGCAATTTAAAGTATTGCAAATGAATTTCTAACCTTTGATATATTGCTTATTTTCTCGTTTTCGTGCGGTATGAGATACTTATTGTATTTGTTTAAGCAAATACAAAACCAAAGAACACCAATTCGAATGCAAACAATTGACATACAACATTAAAGCCCACATAAAATTTACACAATTAAAGTATTTCTGCACGATTTCAGGCAAATAACTCGTATTAACATATGTACATTATTTACTTATAAACTTATATACATATATCAAATTATATTATTTATTTATACATGCATTTATTATATTTTAGCTTAAATCATATTAGCATGAATCAATTTACACCTTTTTATTATTACTAATTTTTTTTAGAAATACTTCATTATTTTTATTATATGATTAATAGATCTCTCAGAGATAATAAGTATATCTGCTAAGTAATAGAATATATATAATAAGACTTTTTAAATTTTATTAAACTTGAAATATACGTATACACTTTTTAAGTATTTGTTATTAATTGAAAATATAATAATAAGTATTTATTATTAATTGAAAATATAATAAATAAAATATAAGAATATAGTAATAATATCTAGATGAATAATATAATATATATATATATATATTAATATATATAATATATATATATAATATGATTTGTGGTAGAATGATGGTTCAGAAACCAAAGAAGGAGAAGTCGCGCTGGGTATATGGCCTACTTTCTTCCAAGCAGAGGTTCACGCCATCGAGGTCTACGCTTGTATCAACATTAACAATGGATTGAAAAGCGCCCGTATCTGTATTTAATCAGTTAGTCAAGCAGCAATCAAAGCATTATCCTCCTAGAAGTTTCCTCCAAAGCTTCTATTATTCCCACTATGACACCCTGCAGCAGCTGGAAAGCAAAAACAAAGTGATGCTTTGCTGGGTACCTGGTCACACAGGAATCAATTGTAATGAGTCTACCGATAGTCTTGCAAGGTCAGAATCTGTCATTTAAATTTGTGAACCGGAGCTATATTGTGGATTATGTTGGTCTACAACTAGGTCTCTGTTTGATAAATGGCTTTCAGCCGAGAGAATTCGCTACTGTCGCGACATTCCAGGTAACTGTCAGGCTAAAGCGCTGGTTCATCCCTACAGTTATGGTAAGGTGTCCTTCTTCAGCAGAACACAGTTAAGGTTGCTGGTGGGATATTTAACGGGTCATAATGGACTGCGTTATCACCTTAACAAAATGATTCTGACCGAAGAGGTAGATTGTCGCCTCTGCTTAGAAGCAGACGAGACTTCCAGTCATATTCTCTATGACTTCCCAGCCTTGATCTGGACCAGGAGGAGGTCACTGGGTCAATAACTACTCTCCCATTGTGACATTGAGAGGTCATCCCCGGCTGACATTCTGGCTTTCATTCGGAAGGCGGAATGTCTTCTGTTTGATTAGGGTCTTTTGCAACACAACAGAGCAATCACGGTTACAATGCTTCGCTCCATTGAAAGCTGGTACTCTATTTATTACTATCCCTATCAGTGAGAAATAGAGATAATTGTATACTTTCAGTGCAATTAATATGCCTGGCAAACAACTTAAAATAAAAATCTTCCAAGCATAGTTTACTCTGGTTTCAAAATTTAGAATCTCAAATCCGGATTGGTGGCGATACTACTATAGTGCCTATGCGTTACTTCCATAGCAAAAGAAGCTCTGCCGCTACTGAAATCAGCTTCGATATTTATCTATATATATATATATATATATGAATATAAAAAAAATTATTTGTACTAAAATATAGATACTTAATTTAATATTCACAACTTTCTAAGCATCTACGAAAATCATTATTAAATACTTAAAAATAATGTCCATATAATATTTAAAAAAAAAAAGCAACAAATTTAAGGTGATTTTCGTAATTACAAAATATTTTACAAAAAAAAAATTTATTCGCAAATCGATAACAATTTATGTTTTATTGAACAGCCGAACAAAATCCCCTTTTCAACTTCATTTTCGAACAGGTTTTATGTAATGAGATACAATTTGACAGTGTTTTTCTCATTTTTTAGACTATGTATTTGTATTCCAGAAACTCAAAAAATATTCGTGCATTGTGTAGATATTTAATTCATTTGGAGTTGTTAATGTGATATTCGATTTTTATTGTTTA